ATTTTCAACAAATGGTCCAAGGTAAATTCAGTGGAGGAAGGAAAGTCCCTTCCAACAAATGAGTCTGAAAACACTGGATATCCACATTGCGGGGAGGGTGGGGGGGTGGCCCTGGGTGGAGATCGTACCTCACACCATACACAGACTAACTTGAGGTAGATGGTAGACCTAAATCTAAAAGCAATTAGTATAAAACTTTAAAAATAAGTAAGTAAAGACACTTAGGTGAATATCATCATGACCTTAAAATAGAAGAACATTTCTTTTTCTTTCTTTTTTTTTATTTATTCATTTGACAGAGAGATCACAAGTAGGCAGAGAGGCAGGCAGAGAGAGAGGAGGAAGCAGGCTCCCCGCTGAGCAGAGAGCCTGATGCGGGGCTCCATCCCAGGACCCTGGGATCATGACCTGAGACAAAAGCAGAGGCTTTAACCCACTGAGCCACCCAGGAGCCCCAAGAACATTTCTTAGGGTACCAAAAGCACTACCTATAAAAGGAAAAATAATGGTAAACCAGAATTTATTACAATTACAAACTTCTGAACAAAAGAAAATAAAAACTAATAACCGAGCAGAGACTGGAAGAAAATATTCACAACATATATATATATATGACAAAAGACGTATATTCAAACTATATATATATAGAACTCCTACAAGCCAACAATTAAAAAAAAAAAGAAAAGAAAAAAAAAGCAACCCAATGTTTAAAATAGGCAAAAAACTGAAACAGACATTTCTCCAAAGATGATACACAAATGGCTGATAAAGTCCAAGAAAAAGTACTCAGGATCACTGATCATCACAGAAATGCAAATTAAGTGAAATGCTACTGCATTCCCTCAAGGACAGATCAAAGGAAAAACAGTGACAAGGCCAGCTGGGTGAGCACATGGAGCAAGTGGAATTCTCCTGCGTGGCGACAGGTGCGAAACAAGTATTCCAGGAGGTTATCTGGAAGTTTCTTAAAAAGTTGGGGCGCCTGCGTAGCTCAGTCACTTGACTCAGTCACCTGGCTCTTGATTTCCGCCCAGGTCATGATTTCAGCGTGGTGAGATGGAGCCCCTCCTCACGCTCAGAGTGAAGCCTGCTTAAGATTCTTTCTGCCTCTCCCTCTCCCTCTGGCCCTCCCGCATCCCCTCCCATGCGCGTGCAAATGTGCGTGTGCTCTTTCACTCTTTAAAAAAATAAAAGTTAAATATACCTCTGCCCTACCAGCCAGCCATCCCACCACCCAAAAGCAAGGCAAATACAGATCCACAAAAACCCTGGACACAAGTGGTCATGGCAGCTTTCTTCACAATAACCCCAAACCGGAAATAAGCTCAGATGTTTGTCATATAAACATCCATACAATGGAAAATAAAAGAAACACAACCCTGGATCTCAGAACCTCTACGCTGAGTGAAAGAAAGCAGATACAGAAGAATTCTATGATGTTCTACGAAAAGCAGCATCTATGCTAACGTTACTCAGACCAGTGGTTGCTTGGGGAGAGGGGCAGAACTGGGTGGGAAGCAGCAAGAGAGAACTTTCTGGAGCGAGGACAGAGTTCTACACTGCCGGGTGTGGTAATACAGGCGGTCAAACTGTCCATTCACGGCCTGGGCAGTTCACTCTATATATTACCACACCTCGAAGAAATGGTCTTCAGGCAGCTGCTGAGGCAAACTGGCAGGTCCTATTATTCTCTCATTGATCAAAGTTTCGTAAGAAGGCCCCAACAGCTGTCTGCTGTTCCAAAGACCATCCCCATAGACCCCTAGGACCCCCACCCCTGCCTCCCACCCCAACCCCCACCCAGGTCACACAAAACACACCTGTGGGTGGCTCACAGGTGGTGTTGGTACCACGAACTCCTTTGCAGTGTACCTCTGCTCACTCCTCAAGTTCCAGTTCAGGCACCTCCTCCTTCAGGAAGCCCTCCCAGAATCCCCTGGCCTGAATTCTCAAGGCTCACTTCCATCAGAGCACCGGGCACTTTCTCTTAAGGGAACGGGTTTTTCCACAGCTAGGCTGGTGCCAGAGCCTCAGAAGGAAACAGTGTGTCAGACGTGACCTTCCATTCACAGCTCCTGGCACAAAGTTTGGCGCAAACATCTGGGTGAACCCAGGAATCAGCCTGGCAGAAAAAAGGAAGGAAGGAAGGTAGGAAGGAAGGAAAAGTAAGGTCCTGAGGGGAAGAGAAGTGGTGGTGCCCCCCTGAAGTCAAGATCTGGTGGCAGTAAGGCAAAGAGAAGATCTGACACAGAGAAGGAAGCCAGTAAGGGCCCCACAGGGAGCCGTGGGGCTGGCTTACAAGGCCCTTCAGGAAGCCAGGACGTCCAAGACCCCCAGTTCCAGAATGCCACTCCCAGAGCCCCCTGCTCCTCCTCTCCAGGTACCATGGCTGAGCGGGTCCCCACAGCCCCCGAGGACCCCAGCAAAGCCAGGGGCTGCTCTGAAGCCTGGTCTCCACCCTGCCCAGCCTGTGTCAGCCCAGACCCAGTTTGGGGCACAAAGGCACACCCTTCCAGACTTCAACACTTCGCAGCTCCATTTGTTACGTGACTTAAAAGTCTGTTACCAGATCTAAAATCCTTTTTTATGTTAATATGCCAAGCATAATCTTTTTATAAGCAAACTCAATTATCTATATATTTTCCGTTCCTTGACAAAAAGAGAGACAACTTCAAATCTCTAATAAATGTTTAATATATCTATTTGCTTCTCTCCTGGATTCCTTTTTTTTTTTCCCTTTAAAAAATTAATCAAAGTCTACCCCACCTTTCCAACCACAAATGTTTTCAAGCAGCAAGTAGACGACAATGCACTAGGCTTTCCAATGCAGAGACCAGGTCAGAAAGAGATAAACACCAGAGCCACCAGGCCCTCAGTAGGGAACAGGATTATGTCCAAGGGAGGGCACAGGGGTTCCAAGAGGCGTGATTTCCCTGAGGTCAGGAATCTGGTGATTGGCAGATCTCTTGGACTCAGAGCGCATGTTCTCTCCACCCTCCCTATCCTTTCAGCCCTTAAACTTGACACCTGCCCTTGAGAAATTTCAAAAGACATGAAATTTTAACAGGATAAACAGCTGAGAACAAAGAGAAAACTACACTCTAGGCTAAGGCCCCTCTCCGTAATTAAATCGGCCCAGCTTGATGGGGAGGCAGCGTGAGAGAAACTATCTATAAAAGGAAATGCAATTAAGGGAGTCTTTTCAATATACCTAATTCTTGACTGCCCTTGCCCTAGGCAAAAACTTAATTCTACTTAAGGACAGCTATCTTTGAGAAGTTGTTCTGTAAATTATGAGGCACTGGGAGAAAAGGAATAGGAACCATTTTCCCAGGTAAATGAGAAAGGCTGAGCAGGGAGGCCTTTGGTAACAGATCTCTAATTGACGGAGATGACCATCTCGGCCAGCTAACCTCCTAAAGCCGGGGCCCTACAGGCCCTCTGCAACTCCATCCTGCCATCACGCATTACCCTGCTCCCGTCCATCAACCTAACAACCAAGCAAAACAGGAAACTCTTCTCAGAAATTAGCTGATCACGAGTTGACAATACTACATTTCAAAACCTGATCTCTCGATCGCTCCAACTGGAAATTGAAACTACAACAAATGCCCAGGTTTCTTTTCTAAAACTGTTAACTCCCAAAGAGGAGAGGTGGGCAGTTTGCACCGCGTATCAGCAGCAGCGGCATTACTCGGGACGGGGAAGGCAGCACATCAGGCCTATTGTTAGCTTAAGAAAGCATGGGGGCGTAGGTCAGGGGTCCTGAACCATCGCTATAGCTCTGGGTCCGCTCTGCCACACACTCCACACACGCCAGATCGGAGACGACGCCAGGATGAGGGCTCCTTACCAATGCCTGGCATGGAGAGGGGGGCCGTGCCCAGCCGTAGAGGGAGGGGCGTCCCACGGCCAGCACACAGCGCTGGGTGTCTTCTCCAGCCTCCGGCTGGGGACACTCACTAGGACCGCTTCAGTACGAAACGACAGACTCAGAAGATGAAGCTGAAAGGGGCAGCTGTCACTGGGCTCTGCAAGGAACCCAGACTGGAGAGGCAAGAGGTTAGTTCATTCATTCCCTGGAGTCTCGGCGCTGTCTTCTTAGAACTGTATGAAGCTGAGCCCTCTGAACCTTCATCCCTCGTCAGTGAATGACACAAATTAGCACTGCTGCGAGAACGGAGCGGCGGACAGCCTGAGGTCAGTGCCAGAGCACGGGCGATGTTGCTAACCACAGGTGACCGGCCCCAAGCTCAACGTTAAGGGTCTTGGACCAGGTGTTAAGTGGAAAGTCCAACACGTACTGGGGCAGTCCGCAGAGAGGTTGGTTCGGCGGCGAAACCAGAGACGGCCGCCTGGAGGAGGTGCCGTTTGAATTTAACTTTAAAGGGTGAGGAACAGGGCGGCAGGTAGAGGGTAAACCACAGGCCATCACAGCATGCTACGGTCACCAGCAGCAGCAACGACGCCGTGGCCTGGAGTTTATGGCTCCCTCCACAGGACACAAATGTCCTTCAGCAGCGCAGTCAAATCCTGTTCCTACATGCGTCTACAGGAGCTACCCATTTCACAGAGGAGGAAAGCGAGGCCAGGCAAGGAGGGGGCCCCAGGCAGGGAGCTCAGGCCAGAACCGGCAAGCCGGGATTCGAACCTCCCGCCAGCCAGGACGCCTGCGCTCAGTCGCAGGCGCGCGGCCGGCCCTACCCGTCGCCCTAGAAACGGCCCCGCGCGCGCGCGCAGTCTCCCCTCGCTCACTCCGGAGCGAGCCGCATTCTCGTGACTTTTTTTAAATAAAACCCCGAGGCGGCGGGATACCACCAACGACCGAACGTGCCGTCAAAGGACGCGGCTACGTCCGCTCTCCGCCCGGGGCCGCGGATCCCTCCGCCGCCCGGCGGCCCGCGCGCTTCTTCTCGCCTCCAAACTCGAAACCGGTTCCCGCGCGCCGCGCCGCACCCCACCCCCACCTCATCCCCACCCCAACCCCCAGCCCGGCTCACCTGCCGCCCGCGTCTCCATGGCAACGCCACCACCGCGGTGGAAAAAAAAGCCTCGGGCCCTTCCGGGCCCCCTCCCGCGCTGACCGCGAAGACGAGGCGCCCCGCTGATGCTCTGCTTTTTATTTTTATTTTTTTAAGAAAAGAGCCGGCGAGGTTATGGCGAATCTGCGGCATCCAACATGGCGGATGGAGTCTTCGCCCTCCTCTTCACGGGGTGCTGACGCCGGCGTAGCGGACGTCAGCCTCGGGTGACCCTCCCCCAGCGCCGAGAGCGTCTAGGCTGGGCGGTCTAGTGCGCATGCTCCAGCCCGGCGGCCGCGCTCTGCATCCCGCTCCGCTGGTTCCACCGCTCCGCTTTTTAAGCCACTCCCGGGAAAGCGCTAACGAGAGGCCTGGAATACAGACCGCAGGATTGGGAGTCTTCCCATTTCGGTCTGGAGCCCACAGATCTACCCGCCTGCGCATCCTTGGACTCCCTGGGCTAGACGTGCAGGGAGAATTCTGGGTTCCTGTCCCAGTTCTGTTCTTTACTAACTAATCTGGGGTAGCGATTTAACTTTCCTTGGGCTCAGTTTACTGATTTGTCAGTCGGGGTGGTGACAGCCTGCCTCCCTCTCGAGGGCTGCAGAGTTTCCCCGAAGCGGGATGCTCTCGATTGAGTCTGGGCCGTTCAGCCAGAATTCAGCAGCACGGAGCCACCTGGAGAAAGTGGACGCCTTCCGTCCTGACTGTCCTGCAGAAAGTCCCAGCTGCGCCTGAGCCCGCCTCTCCAACGCTCGAGCACAGCCTTCTGCAGGGAGCATGTCTGCTTGAGATGTGATGACCTTGTTAGTTTCTGTTGTGAAGATCCGCTCTGCCACTTCCTTTGGATCTCAGCTCTAGTAACATATCCAAGGGGGCCCTCCCGCACCACCGCATCCAAAGTAACCCTGCTAAGTCCCTTTTCTGTTATCTGCACAGTATCTGTTAGCACCTGACATGAATTTATCTCCCTCTCATCTTGGTCACCCCTGTGGCCCCAGAAACTAGAAATGGGTCTGACAGTTATGTATCGAATGAATTAGTTTTGTGGACTTCTAAGGCTATCTTTTGTCTATAACAAATGATGGTGTTTTTCATTTATGGTGGTAATATGTTTTTAAACACAAGTGCTTGGGGTGCCTAGGTGGCTCAGTGGGTTAAAGCCTCTGCCTTCGGCTGGGGTCATGATCCCCGGGGGCCTGGGATCGAGCCCTGCATGAAGCCCCACATCGGGCTCTCTGCTGGGCAGGGACCCTGCTTCCTCCTCTCTCTCTGCCTGTCTCTCTGCCTACTTGTGATCTCTGTGAAATAAAATCTTTAAAAAATAAAAATCAACACAACTGTTTTACTTTTTTCTAAAGATTTTATTTATTTAACAGGCAGAGATCACAAGTAGGCAGAGAGGCAGGCAGAGAGAGAGGAGGAAGCAGGCTCCCCACCCAGCAGAGAGCCCGATGCGGGGCTCGATCCCAGGACTCCGGGACCATGACCCCAGCTGAAGGCAGAGGCTTTAACCCACTGAGCAACCCAGGCATCCCAATTGCTTTGCATTTTTAAGAACTTGTCAACTTTCAAGAAAAGGGTACATATCGAGAGACAAGGAGAAAAAACGTAAAAGGGAACCTCAGGTGAGATTTTGGGAAATACTGATTTGTTTTTACAGTTCCTCTGAAAAGCTTGTCTTTGCCTGTTGCAAGTCTTTTTTTTCTGGGACAACCTCCACTCTGTTGCTGGTCAACTTGAGATAACCTCCTTGGGACAGCCCTGACGCTCATGCCTGTGTGTTCCCTTGGCTCTGGCTCTTAATTTACCTTGCCCCATTCCCCACATGATTGCGTGTATGTATTTGCACAGCCCTCTGCCCGCGAGCTAGACCAGAAACACAGATGCCACATGGGTCTTTCTTGTGCACGGTAGTAGTACTGAATGAACCCATTTGTTCCCATTGTCACCTGTGTTTCCATAGTAAAACGCCCAAGAACATTGCGCTTCAGGATGGCATATCGAAATTCTCAGAAGCCTTGTGTCTTGCTCCTTGGTTCTGTTTTTGGGAGATAGAGTCATCATAAGACCCCAAATTTGGGCAGTCCACTAGATACATGTTCAGAGAGACCGCCATCATTTCATTTTATCAACATGACAACTAGGAGGTTAAATTGGACAGATAAGATTATTGTTCTTTTCTGGATGAAAAAAGGAACATTCAGAGAGGTTATGTGGCTTTTTGAGATCACACAGCAAGCCAGTAAAGACCCAGGTATGGAATGGGTCTCTCCATGCCCAGTGTTCTTCCCATTTTACCCCATCACCCTCAGAGTTTTGACCACATGACCCACTGTGCCTCCCACAGAGCCAAGTCCAAGGTAATCATAGGGTTCCTGCCACATACCCACCACATCCTACATTGCAAACAGATGGCTAGGTGGAGCCCATCACAGATTTCATTTGGAAATGAACCGCCCAGAAAGCTGCATTGATGAGCTTTTCCTTTTAGAACTATAAATATTTACAATAATCACTATTTTGCTGTGAATCGATTTCTATCAGGAAATTAGAGTTCTGGTTGCTGACAATATTGGTTTTGTGCTGGGTTGCTTTCTTGCAGCAGCAATAAATGTTAGCTATTGATTAGCAGATGGATTGTTCTTGGAGGTTGTGACCAAAATGAATTTTGGAAATGAAGCAATTTAAAATTTGCCTCGGCATATTAACAAAGTCGAATTTTTTTTTAAAAAAAAAGCAATTGTGGATTATGCGTGGTGGTCATGAGTTAGTTATTTGGACAGCTACAATTTTCTCTATTATTCCCATGGCATTTCTTCTTCCTCTATCCAAAGAAGATTCACTGAACACTTATCATCACTGAAAACTGCCCTGGCCACAGGCATATAAGGACAAGAGAGCGTCCCTTTCTATGGGACCAGATTTGCAGATGAAGATACAGAGTCCACTCCTGGCTCGTCCATCACCCTGCTGAATGATTTTCACATTTTCAATCAGTAAATATCTTTATTCTTTTCATTTGCCTGTAATATCTCAAAATGCCTTCAATTAATGAACATCGGTAGAATTAAATACAAATGGCATCCTACTCCCACGACGGTTCCCAGAGGAGACCAATCTTCCCAGCTGGCCCTTTGATGGCCGTCAGCCCCTTGAGGCTAGCACGTGAAAGAATTTGTGTCGACAGGTTTATCAACATGAAATGGCTTCTGGTTATATAATAAACACTCTAATTGAATATATTTGTGTCAATAATTTTATAATTACATCTCATAGCTGCATGACAAATACGCACTTACACAAAAAAGAATATATACATGATTTTATAAGGCACTTTTAAAGACTTTCATTTATTTATTTGACAGAGAGAGAGATCACAAGTAGGCAGAGAGGCAGGCAGAGAGAGAGGAGGAAGCAGGCTCCCTGCTGAGCAGAGAGCCCGATGCGGGACTCGATTCCAGGACCCTGGGATCATGACCTGAGCCGAAGGCAGAGGCTTTAACCCACTGAGCCACCCAGGCACCCATAAGGCATTTTCTTGAAAGCAGGTTTTGATAAAGGATATTCACGGGTGACCTCAAAATAATGGGCCTGGAGGCACATGGCAATGATAAAATCAGAGGTGGGGATAATCACAGTCTGAGTGAAGTGCTAAAAACCTACAGAGGCACACCACAGAGAAAAATCCATTTAAAATTATATAAAAGAAAAGGGGATAGTAATATTAGAACGACATGAGTAGTCTCACTGTGAACAAAATTAGGATCTCAGGAGCAACGTCTTTTCTGAGTTCTGTCTTTTCCTCGGCCCTCGCGTCTACCCTCAGCCCCCAAATATCGATCTCAATAATATTTTTCATTAGCAATAGCCAGGATTCCTTCAAAATAGCTGAGTCCGTGTTTGGGAGCAGGGGAAAATTAGAACGGCCCGAAACATCTTGCTCTTGCCGGAAAAGCGGGATACTGCAAAAGTGCTGGGCTGTTGCTGGAAGGCAGCAGTCAGCTGAGAACGGGGTCCCTCCCCGCAGACTATGATAGCTTGCACAACACCAAGAATAGCTAGGTCTCCATTGTTAACCTCTAAACGGAGTCTACAAAAGGCATGAGTATTTCACCATAAAAGAGGAAAAGTTATTTCATAATTACAAAGCATATTGTAATTCAGAGAAAGGGTAAAAGTGGAATATTTTAGTAAGCGGGTAAATTAGGTGAACATGGGGATCTGTTCCTCCTTGAAATTCTCTACGTCTGTACAAGTTGAGAAGAGTGGGTCAGTTTACTATGAGTAAGTCAACATTTTCCAGAAAGAGCAGAAACCATACCCAAACCAGGAAGGGCTAGCCCAGACCAGCGGTCTCATAAATAACCAGGTAGAAAGAGGGTTCAGAAATGGTGTCATAAGTGAATGGATTAGCCGAATGTCCTGGGAGGATCGCTGACAGATTCAACAGCTACCAGGCCCTGCCAATTACAATGGAATGCTAATGATGCATAATGAAGTTCGTTGTAAACAGGCAGGACATGAAGTATCTGTGTTCGGCTGTACATGGTGAGTGAGCCTACAAGCACTTGCTTGTAAGTCCTGCTGATACGGCAGTTGAACCCGTGATGACACTGGGTGTCCCAACCAGCAAGTGCCCGCTGCCAGTTGAATCACCTTGGAAGGTTCTGTGCTCCAGCTAAGAATCCAAGAGTCAGTGACCCCAAAGCTGTGATTTCGGCGTCCCTGGGGAATGGGATCTTCTCTCACTTTTGGGTCTGATATTGCAGTCCTGGAAAAGTACAAAAATGAGTTTTATAGCGAGAACGAAGAAATGGATCTAATCAATAGTTAGGATTTTTACAAATAGGCTCTGGGTGCAGTAAAAAGTTTGGGGGTTTGGGTGTTTGAAGCATTCAAGAGATGCTACGTTAGACACATAGTTACATCGAAACAGGGTGGTTTGACTGTGTATAAATGGTGAAGGATTTGTGAGGTTTTAAGTTTTTATCAGTGGTGTTTGAATAGTTTACCAAAAAAGTTAATGGATTTGTGTCATAAACATTCTTAAAACCAACTGCAAGCTGTAGTAACTGGGCCATGTGAGAGAAGGGGCGCGCGTGGCCTCAGATCCCAGCAACAAGAAGGAAAAACAAAAGCCTTGCCAGAGCCTAGTGGAGTGCCAGGCTCATCACTGGGGCCCAGTAAACAGTTACGCAGGGAAGGGAGGGGGTGGGGAAAGGGGTGAACCCAGGAGGTGAGGAAAAGGAACAATGCATAATGACATCACGATTTTACAGCTGTTGCGCGGACAACACTGTTATAATAGAAAAAAAAAGAGAGATTTTGAA